ATTAAGCGTAATGCTACTTTCCAAATAGATTTTAGACATTGGTGAAAATCTATCTGTTATTGGCACCTGATAGATCAGATTCTGAAAACCTGAGAAAGTCAGTGCCCTGTCTTCGCTGGCGTTTATTTCTCAAGTCCAGACCGGGTCGCTGTAAACTCCAATGTAGGTTAGGAGGCATAGAAATAGAAAAATGCCTTGCGCTTTTTACCTTCCTTTCTCAAAGCGAATTCCTATTCATATCACACGCTGTCACGCAAATTCAGATTGTCCACGAATTCAATTTAAATTGGTATATTTCATCATAGTTAGTAGAGGGAAATGGTTAAGAAGGCTGGTAAACATCAAAGAAGCGAATAAACAGGCTAAGATTTATGTTGGAAGGTCCTTAACCCTGCATATCTTCTGTTTTATGCTCATTGACTGTGCATGAATTTAATACGTAATCGCATATGCTTCCATTGATTATTAGTTGTATGAGCACACATAAGCACCCTTTGGATATTGCCAGGTTTTGTTAACTATATGATTTCATTTACAACATACAAGTTTAACATGCAGCCAATCGCACACAAATAAAACTTAGAAACGATTGAAATACCTAGAATTGTTGAATTGTTGAATCTTGAACTCTGGAACGGTCTGGAAAATCGTGGGATATCATGCAGATTTGCTTGTCTGTTTTAAAATTGTTCACCTTGGCCTGTTTTCACCAACCTTTCTTGCCTTTTCTGTCTGTTGATAACTGACTTCAAAGAGAAACACGCTATTCAAACCTTACCAGCGTTTGAAGTATTAAAAATTACTGATTAATTCAGCTTTGACTGGACGCGCCGATATCAACGATTAGTGACCTTTGCAATATAACGAATGGTATAAATTACACTGACCTGATTTGTAGATCAAGATAGTTTTTCCTTTTCTGAATATGCTTTCCCTCGTGCTAGTCACGAGCTGAGCTTACTACCTCATGGTGAAAAACTTTATAGTATGCAGTCCTAAAGTAGGGGTAAACCGCCAAAACCGGTCTTTTATACAGTGTATCGTTTTATTTTGTGTTTCAACTCTGTGTAGACATTTTTTTCTTTTTCTAAGAATATTGCTTTTCCGGCCGAGGCTGAATACTGTTATTTTTTTTCCAATTTTAGGCTGAAAATATTCTTGTGAATATTCTTAGATTATGGCGTATGACGTTTCTGTTTTCGAATGTATTTGGTGTCTGGATGGGGTTAAATTAATTTTGAAGCCAGCCTGCAGGCATTAAAGCTTGACATGACGCATATAACTTGCAGAAATGTTATCAGCATCCAACACACTGTTTTTGTTGGTTTTTGGTTAGTTTTGCCGATTAGAGAAAGGACGAAATTTATACAGTTTTAGTTAAAAACATAATTGTATTGTATTAAAATTTTGAACACACAAAATGAGATTTTTCTCAAAATCTAAACTTCCGGTTTATTCTTAAAATATTCTTAAAATCAGTCTCGATATTCTTATAAAATATATTATCGTAAAAAGAGTGTATAATTCGATGGCTGTAAATGAAAACAAAAACTGAAATATAAACACGACATAACACCAAAGCAATTTTCGCCCTGACCTAGTTATTTTTCAATTAATTATCTTTCCTGTATTGCGTACTTCTAAAATTACATGAACTATTACGTAAACACTAATGAGCGAGTTGTACTTTTGAAGGGCTTGGCTCAAATTAGCCATAGGTACCGGGAATCTGTCCTGCTACTTCATTGGTTGTGCTTTACCTGACTAAATTGTGAAACTTGACTACCTTGCTAAAAAGAACATGCTCTTTCGGCAGGTATGTGTGTGTGCGGTACGGGCCGACTGACCTTGGAGGATTAAAATACCTTTGTTTAGAACACTAACCCACACACTTTCACGCGATTCCCACAAATACATGAATACATGTGGCAAAGCAATTGATTCTACAAGTATGAAAACACTTAATTTCGCAGAATTAACGCCAAAACAGGAACTTTATTAAATGGACTAAGCAAGGTCAGTCACAAACCCAAACATGACCACCGATGGAAATTATTGTTCAAGAATTTAGATTTATTAATGGTCAGGGATGGACAACTTGAAAATTAAAACTATTTGTGTGACCTTGTAAGCCAAGCCCTTGAATCACGAGAC